GAGGCCCTGGGCACCTCTGGACAGCCCAGGGCCAGCCTCTGCTGGACCGTGAGCCTCTCCATGGAGGACCCTGCTCCCCTCTCCAGGCCACCCTGAAGACATCGACCTGGTGAACGCGGCAGCCTGAGGGGGACACGCCCCTCCGCTTGTCCTCCAGAGCCTTGCTCCCTCTCCGCCTCGCCTTACAACAGGCCTCACGAAACAAGGGGAACGTTATACTTCAGCAACGTTTGCTTGTACATCTGTGACAATCCCAGGCAAGAACCAACCGAGGGGCTCCAAGAAAGGCGGTGACCGCACGGGCTTGACGGTGGGCTGGGGCTGAGTTAGGAAAGGGGAGGAAACCGTAAGGACAGATTAGTAAATTACCCCTCACACCAGACCCCACCTGCCCTTGACCGTGACCCCCCCCCAACTGGGCCCTGAGCTTATCTGCTCCACATCTTCCTAGTGAGGAAGGAAATTTCTGCCTCTCCTGGGGAAACAAGATCTTCAGTTTGTTTTATTTACCCTGTTTCTCTTAAACACTTACTACTTGAGTCTTCGTGTGTCTTTATAGCCTTAAATGAAATCCACCAGTGAGGACGAGGTGGGACGCTGCTGCCTCCAAGGACCACTACAGTCGGTGCCCACAGCTCGTCAGCGGCCGGCTCCGGCTCACCCACCTGCCGCACCCCCAACACACGCCAGAGCAAGCCGTGGGGACCATCGCTGTGGACATGGAGAAGTGACCTGACAGCTCAGTATGAAGCAGGAGACGTGAAGTTAAAGAAGCTTTAAATACCATAAATGTGGTTCTCGTTACATCAAAAATTCTATCACTGAATGGAAGACTGCTTGTGTGCTAAAGAGGATGTGTATTGAAGTAAAAAAAAAAAAAAAAAAAAATTCAGCAAGAAAAAAATGAGAGTAAAGGCTGGAAAAATGCTGTGAAACTTCCATGTAGGAAAGAGCATGAAGTTCATCTCAAAACTTAAAGACCCGTTTATCAGCTCAGAAGCAAAATGCAGGACAGTTTCTAATAAAGGGTGTGGGAAGAGTCAAAAGTGGCTGGTAGCAACAGATGCCTGCAAGAAATTAAGGGAGGAAATGCAGAGGTCAGAGACCCAGGCGGGAAAGCGTGGTCATTGGGGGGCAGGGTGGGGGGAGGTGGAGGCTGCCTTGCCAGGGAGGCTGCAGGGGCTGGGGTCGGGAAGACAGGAAGACCAGAGTCCCACAATTAGCGCCCTGGGACTTCCCTCGAAGGACCAGCTGCAAAAGTTAACATCAGAAGACAGGCCGAAAACCAGTAAGACCATCCACGCAAGTCCATGGAGGGATGGATTGAAGAGGTAAATTCTCCCACAGGTCAGAACTCAAAGAAAACGTAGAACACAAGCTCATAAATTAAAACCTGATAAAATACATTTTTGTTAGTTCCAATAACCTGTTTTGCTCAGGTCGTAAGTTTTAAATGTTCTGCTTACAAAATAAAATCTTTAAAGAGATGAGAGGAAATTAAAGAGAAAGATGTTTACCTGTGCTGTTTAGATTTTATAATTCTATGTGAAATATTTCTAAAATCTAAAATTTTTGCTTAGAAGGGATAATACATGGAAAAAGCATATGGTTTCACACGGGAAGGAGGTACGTAAGTGATTAGGATACTATTTTATAACCTTATTGTGGCATTTTACTCCAAATTAAGTCATTTAATGACACTCCTTTTGTTATAATTCTGCATTTTAGGATATCATTTAAAAATAATCCAATAAGCATACGTAGATGTTCTGATTTTAAAATACTGATTTTTAAATATTTGATGACTACCTATCCAAGAATAAATCCCAATCACAATGTAGTTTCCAGTCTCTGTAAAATGGTAGCCTGTCGATTGCACTTTTCAGACAATAAAAGATGTGAAAGCCAGGACCTTGTCCTTTATTATGATTAGTTACATCATTTATGATGATTAGTGACCATCATTTCTTATCAAACTCTCATAAATCAAAGTAGCAACTGAACTGGTTTATGCTGCATCAAAAAGAATGTTAAGCCTCTGAAGACATCGAGTTTCCTGGAAGGAACAGAACTGGAACAGACGCATGCCGGCGTCTTCCGCACACACAGCATCAACCCCCTCAACTTTCTTTACAGCTGGTTATGAAAATTCAGCAGATCAAGAAGGAAATTCTACTTGGATATTTTTTCCAGGGAGAAAGAGGCCCATCCCTGGACAAAGTTTTCAGCACTATTTACTACTTGTCCCCTGTCATGGGGCGGGGGTGGGGGTGGAATGTAGATTCAAGGCCTCTTTTGAGGAACTTTTATGTTACCGTTTAAAATACCTCTGCAAGGCAAGGCTCAGAAGCAGCTTTGGAGAGGCCGGTGCTGACAGGCTGCATTAAGGACAGATGAAGGCAGTGGCCGCCCGGGGGGACATGAGCATCTGAAGCTCAGCTACCTTCCAGGATGCCGCTGCGCTAGGGCTCACCTCACGTGCAAAGAAAGGCCCATGCACATGGCGTCAGGCGGGCATTCCGAAGCAGCGATGTTGTGGACTGGAGACATTCAAGTAGATGCAAGTTCAAAATCATGAAGATTTTTAAACTGGATGGGAGTTAAGATTGTAGGTGTCTCCAAGAAGGTTAGACATGGTGCTAACGATTTAAAGAACAATCCGCAGCCCCTCTCAAGGAGGCCAAGTATTGACCAAACACTGATTTAATCTCATCAACTCCAGTTACACGCCAGGGCCTGGTTACGCTCTTGCATGTCTGGGTCTAAAGAGGAGAAATTTGTGGGGCCGCTGATATCCACCCCAGGCCCCTTCTATGATAAACAGCCGACTTTGTTCACTGCATCTTTTCATTCAGAGCCTTTCACGAGCTGTGAATTCCCTCTCAAAGCACCTATCAGCATGAATAAACTGATAAAAGCAAATGTGTGAAATGCCTTTCACTTAGCTAACAGGCATGACTCCAAATTCTAGAGACCCCACTGCTTTCATCTGAAACCCTAACCCCTGGGGAGAGTCGCTGGTTTGATGGAAGGCCTGCCACTCATGTTACAGGATTGCTGGCCTATTGTGAGTGAAGGTTCATGCAAGCTTTGTCAGAATCGTTCCTGCCCGTCTTTCAGCTGATCTCATGACCGTGGTATCCCCCTTTGCACAGAAACCCAGATGAATAAATCCATTCTGCCTTTCCAGAACATTCATCCATTCCTCCCTCCATTCAATGTCAACAGCTGAGGGGTGACCTGGGGGCGAGGAGGTGACATCCTTGTGCCCCAAGCAGTAACCTCTGGCTAGGTTTATAAGGCAGTATAATAAAAACCATACATGGAGAAAATGGATGGAGCTTTTGGGCAGTATCAGCCAACTCCAAAGAGTGAGAGAGCTCAATATTGATGGCCACGAGGACCAAATGTGAGTAAATACAGCTCAGAAGAAAACGCTTGATGGGCTGAGCTCGCCTGGACAGACACAGACAGAAGGTGCAGCTCAAGTACGCGTGGACAATGTTTACTTGCTGCAAACTCGTTCACAAGAGAAAGTATCCACTTCAAAGCATTTCTACCACAAAGGAAGCTGCCATAATCAGTAAGAGCGACAAAAAGTAGATTAAACCCATTTGGAAAATCAAGTGTAATTCTAATAATTATCAATTATCTTATAATTGATAAGAATGGAACACAACAAAAATGAAAAGGTATTTGTTTAAAACAATGAAAATACATTGTTTTAAAATAACTGGGCTCAGGCAAGGACTAGTTCCCAGAATACTACACCCTACCTTTTTTACAGCAGACAAGATGATGGAGTGGATATTTATGTTCGAGGCAGTGTGCCAGAATCAGCCAAACATTAGTAAAAAGAGATTATGCAGAAATTAATAGAAGAACATGCAACACAGAATTGATAAGACTAAAAACTAGTTCTAAGAAAACTAATGAAACCATCTTCTGGCGAGAAAGTAACTGTAAAGGTGGCAGCAGCACTCTAAACCATGAGAGAAACAGGAGACACAGCTGAAGACACTAAAAGGATGCTACAACAAGCAAACACTGTCAGCAGACTGGAAAATGTACTACATAGACAAGTGAAAATATATATTTTTAAAAATAGATTCAAGGAGAAACAGAAGCCTAAAGTGTTTTTCTTAAACCTTCATAAGTAGTTGAAAAATCTTTCCACAAGAAAGCTATTGATCCAAGTGGTTTTTATAGGACTTTCCCATAATATTCCACTTTCATATAAACTTTTCCAGTAAACTGAGAAAGAGACTTCACTCTCCAACTCATACCAGGAGTCCTGTGTAGCCTGGATCCCGAGGCAGACAGGATGGAGCTTGGCAGGAAAAGTCAGCATAATCTCACTCGAGAATGTAGAAGCAAAATTCCTAAATAATGTATTAAACCAACTAAGTCGAGCTGTTAGGAAGAGAAAAAAAGACAAACTTGGGTTATGACCAGGAAAGCAGAGGGAGATTTGAATGAGGAAAACTTACAATTCCCCACACTAAAGGTCAAAGAATTTTGAAAATATTCATCTCAATACAGAAAACATTTAATAATGTTCATTTATGACACAAATATGTCACCAAAGAATAAGAGAGTCCTTAAAGGCACCTACAAAAATGTCATTCCTAAAGTCACCGATTTGAAGTAATTTTTTTAATGGACCTCAATAAAATTAGGACTTCTGTACCTTCATAGTCATCAAAAAATTGCGTAAAAGACAAACATGATATTTGCAACTGACTCAAAGGTACACTGGTTTCCAGAATATTTACTGGAGTCCACGCATCACTAAGAGAAGCCTGTAGAAATTCTCCAAGCCTAGACAGGCAAAGGTTCCGCTTCATTAGTCATCTCTGAAAGGGAAATTCAGCCACCACCACATACCGCGGGACACCACACAGGCTGCAAATGTGATGCAGTTTGACAACATTAAAGTCCGAAGTATATGAACTATAAAAGCTCTGGGGCAGTATCAGTAGAGAACTTGGACCAATCACCTTGGAACATGATTCGATCAGAACTGTGGACATCAGCTTATCCCACTGCCAGCAGTATTCAGAGACAGATGGCCTCACACGTGATGGGGAGAAAGGTACACCCATCTATGTAGTTGTTCGTGATAGCAGAAAACAAGGAGCAGCGGCCAAGCGTTCATCAAGAACACCTTGGATAAAATAAATGATGGATTAGAGACAATGCAGAGAATAACTCTTACCCTCACTGTTCTCCTGGAAGTGCTATCCCTGACCAAAGTGAGGGCCACCAGCAACCTCATGGTCAGCCAGGAAATGTACATAAATGCTAAACCTTTGGCCCTCTGTCAGAACTACCGGTTCAGTGCCTGTATTTCAACAGAACTTGCCTTAAAATCAGAGCATCCTGCCTGAAACCATCACTGACTCATCACCCAGTACAGCATGAGTATAGCATATTCACGCAACTGTGCATGCATGCATTAATCAAATGAGTTTCTCCTTGGGCCAGGGACCTTCTTAAAGTGCCAGGGGTATGAGTAAAACACTCAGGCACTAGTCTCAAAGAGCCCACACGCATGCGTGCGGGCACACACACGTATGTTGCACAGCCCTGCAGGACCCAATGGAACTTTTCATGCTTCTCCTAATGTTACCTGTACATCCTGGTCGTGCTATATTGCACAGCCCACCACTGTGCATCCATCTCCTCTAATGTCTTGTCACCGCTCCCGCTAGGGAGAAATGCTTGCTTTCACTCCGTTTGTCTCCTCAGTCAAGAAATTTCAGAGTTTAGGGAGTAACCTCAACTCTGGTTACATTTTACAATTTAACTGAACAGAGCAGCCTTTTCTACTGTCTCATGGCGACTCCTGCTCTGTTGGCCATTAAGCTGGTTTTGAGACGACTCAGTCACTGGGTGGGGAGACGTGACAGGGGCCTGTAAACTCGGTATAACTCCTACTCTCTAAGGGCTTCTCCCATCAGTGATGTGGAAGGTACCAGCCCTCCTACTAATCCGCATCACAATCATTTCTAAGATGTTTGCACTCTACAAACACCAGGGCTGCGGCAGTTTCCAACTGCCTGCCAGATCACGGGTGCCACTGAGACTGGGGTCCTGAGAGTAGCCGCCGCCCCGACCGGGATTGTGTAGGGTACTTGTCAAGTTTTGAACCAACAGACCCCTTGATTCAAGCAAGAGTGGATTTTCCAGAAAATCCACTACTTCAAGTCCCATCTAAAGTCTAAGAAAGTAGCTAAGTTCTAGACTCACTTCCAGTCAAGCTGTTTCTAACCTGGCAGGTTATCTGGCAAGACCTCAGAAAGGCATGCAGTCCTCAGCTAACGCCTGTGCCATAGAACCCGGCTTCTGAAAGACATCCTCTGGGCTGGTGCACAGCCAGCCCTGCTCAGGGACCCCCAGGTCACTGCGACGGCAGGAACTGGCCTCACCAGCCTCCTCAGAAGGGAGACCTGCAGGAGGCAGTCATGTCCCGCAGACCTGCTGTCCCACAGGCACCCTGGTGCGTCACCAGCATGACCCCACATTGCCTTTGGAAATAGGCCACGTCCCAGTGACCTGAACAGGGCAGTGGACTTACACCTGCCTCGCCTGTGCTTCCTCCCTCCAGACACACAGGTGTGCACCTGCCAGCCAGGAAGGGCAGTTATAAGGTGGTTAGAAATGCCACAAGCTGATAAAGGTCCTGCTAGTGATTCAGCAGTGGGAATATTGGTGCAACGCGTTAGCAAGTGACACTAATCAGGACTTTTTTTTGAGAAGGGGTTGGTAAATATTTAATAGCACATCCCTGGCTTCATGGAGCTTAGACTTCCTCTCGTTTTGCAAACGCTGTCCCAGTTCCACCCAGTGGCACATTTAAGATCTTGACTAACGAGGCTGAGTGATGTCATCCACTAACCACCCGCGTTAGCTTTCCAAAGGAACGTCGGAAAGCGCCAAACGACGACCTTCTTGAATGAAAACTTACGCTTCATTTCCACCTGCTAATATTGCCTGTTGCTCTTTGCGGAAATTTAAACCTTCGCAATCGGAGTTGATCTTAACGCGTATTCGTCGTGACCTGAGGTCACTGATTCAATTCACAGAGACCGCGTACCCACCCCAGTCACGGGCAAAGAAAGAGTCCTTGAATCTGAGCTTGCGAAGTTTTGCTGAAGATGGAAATACAGGGAAGGAGGGACACCCTGCAGGGGCCAGAATCATTTCTTCTCCATGGGCTGCCCAAGCCAGGTGGGCAGTGAGTCAAGGGCTGGTAGGTTCAAAGGTGACAACAGAGCTGGAGACTCAGCTGGGATGGGGCTGCTGGTGTGGCTCCGAGACAGGGAGGCTCCTTGGGTGTCTGCCCAGCAACCAGTACCCTGAGAATGGGGAAGCCAGGACACGCCTGGCCTCACCTTGGACGTGGGACCTGATAGCTGGGGTGGCAGGCAGCCCCTCCCTCCGGGTGGGGAGCCATGAAACAGGGCTGGAGAGGGAGGGGACCGACCGCCGCGTCCAGGGGGCTCTTCCTCCGTCAGCCTGGGGCGCCCGCCTGCAGACACTGCTGGGGTGTCCACAGAGCCAGAGTGACAGACTCAGCCAGGCAGAGGCTGCTCCTTCAGCAGAGACTTGGGTGCCCTTCAACCCGGGACACCCTTTATTTGGCATCCAGCTCTGCATTTGTACTTTATGGTTGAAGTAGCACTTCCCCAACTTCCATGTATGCAGTTGTTTGGGGAAGACTAGTTGAAATGCATGGTCCACAGCCCTCACCCGTGGACATCACGCTCGGCGCTGGGTGGGTCTGGAAGCCACATGTGACTGCGTCTCTGGCGAGGATGATTTTCAAGCAGTGGGAAGTCCCTTGATTTTACTGCCCAGCCAAATTAAAAAGCCACTTCTATTCATGAGGAACCTCACCTTCATGAGCCCACCTGGTTTGTGCTTTATTCCTGACAAAAAGGAATTGATATGCTTCCCAATTGCTTTTTTTTTCCCCCCAAGTAGTTTTGTTTCAGTTTTATTTATTGTCACTAATTTCCCTAGCTGTTTGACTTCACCCTCCACAGGTGCTGGAGCCTCACCCACCCTTCACCGCCACCACACCCATCAAATTCCTCTCCACACCCTCCCCTCTGGTCACCAGTATATTAGTCACAGAGCCTAAGAATTGTTCTCCTTTTGCTGCATTTTCTTTTTGGTTATTTCTATTCCATGAACGACACAGCCAGCAATTGTCTTTTGCTTTCTGACTTCTCATTGAGCATCATCAACTCAAGACCCATCCATTTAGTCCCCCAAAGCACAACGAATACCCTTTAAGATCAACTCAATCTGATTGTGAAGGTTTAAATTTCTGCAAAGAGAAATATCCCGATAGCACACAATCAACACAATGTTCTAAATCATTTTCATTTGTAATCAGTGAAACAAAAAACCCAGGACAGCAAGGTTAGCTGATAACAAATATGAGCTGATAAGGAATTTTTTGAAGAGTATTAATTCAGGCAGAATAAACTGTCAATGATGTCAACACACACCCCCAACTCTGCACCTAAAACCCACAAACCTGACCTTCAAACTCTGTACATGACAGCAATATAATCTAGTCAAAGTGTCAAAAATAATTTCTTTTGAAAGTAGAGCTAAAGTTTACCTATCTGGCGCCTCACTCAGGATAAGGCCCACCATTTCAGAACAGTGTCGGAGCTGAGCCAAGCATTGTGTTTATTACTGAGCTTGCAACACAGAACCCAATACAATGCCAGAGAGTCGTTTATTGCTCTTACAACCTCCCAGAAGAACAAAGATTCAAATTTCTGAGGTCTTGATTCTAAATTCTGCTATGTTCCCAAATCCAGCTATTTCCAAGAGCCTAAGATGCTTCTTTCCCAACCTCTAAGAGGTGATTTTTTTTTTTTTTTAAACGTTCATGTATGAATGAAGCAGGTCCTTGATCAAGCAATTAGATGAAACGAACCATCCGCTGCATGGCAGGGCAGCTTCAAAGGGCAGTGACTGTCCCACAGAAATGTCAGCGTGATGATTACCAAGACCAAGAATTAAATGACATTTTGTGTCACTTGTGGCAATAATTGCAATATTCACATTAGATTCCCAAAATTATACCTCAGGGTGCCACTAGAATCACACTGACCAGAAAAAGATACACAAGGGTTCCAGCCCATTTGTGTATTTATTCTCAGAACAGTTGTAAGCCAAATCCACCATCTGGCCAACTTCATGATTATTGACCAGCTTCCTCAACAGTATTAAGCTTCCTTCAAATAGGTGCATTCACCACACACACTGAAGTCTGAAACATTTGCCCCTGAACATTAAAATTATAAGTCATGGGGCCTCCCCTGTTGGCACAGCAGTTGAGCACTGGGCTGCAAAGCTGCCCGCAGCCTCTGCAGCGCTGGTTTGATCCCCGGCCACCAGCGAGGGTCCCACATGGCACGACAGACCTCTCCTGCCGCGCCCGCTGCTCCCCTCAGCAGTGTATTTTGTCAGTCTGTCTGTTCTGCTCCCAGCTCTGGCGCTGGTCAATCCTCTCACCCTCCCGTGCTTCTAACTGTACCCAGTGTTGTATAAATTAAAAAAAAAAATCTTCAAAAAAATAAAATTATAAGTCATGAAAAAGTATGTGTTCCTGTGATTTAGACAGTTCCATACTGGACATGCAGGGAGGCTTGGAGAGGCAGGAGGGGAAAGTGCTACAGGACAAGCCTGGTATTCGCATCACAGCACCTGCCACAGCCCAGACACCTGGAAGAACGAAGCAGCCTAACTCCTCGAGACGCCTCGGCCCTGGGAACCACCGGCCTGGCCTCCTCCGTGCTGACCTGTCCCAGTCTATACTGAGCGGATTCCATATGTGCGATTCAGCACAGGCGTCTATGAAGCTACAATGCAAGCAGTAACAATACCAGCCTGGGCAAAGCCTTCCTGCACCAAAATGAGGAATTAAGCAATGCCCAGACAATACGAGCATTTTCCATAGCATGATGTGTACAGACACAAATTACGCCAACATGCAAGATTCCCTTAGAACCACCCCTTGCCAAACGCAAATGGCACTTAAGTTTTCTTTGTATTTTCCTTCTTCATTTTCTGTGGACTGAGGAAAGCTGTACAGACAGTGGGAAGGCAGAAAGAAAATTTAATTAAGAGGAAGATAGT